CCATCCATCCATCCATCCATCCATCCATCCATCCATCCATCCATCCATCCATCCATCCATCCATCTTCTTCCGCTAGCAGCTTCAGTAGGCCCAGACGTCCCTCTCACTAACCACTTGGGCCAGCTCCTCCGGGGGAATCCCAAGGCGTTCCCAGGCCAGCCAAGACACATAGTCCCTCCAGTGTGTCCTGGGTCTCCCCCTGGGCCTGCAGCACCTCACCAGGGATACGTCCAGGAGGCATCCTAACCAGATCCCCAAGCCACCTCAACTTGCCCCTCTCGATGTGGAGGAGCAGCGGCTCTACTCTGAGTCCTCCCTGGATGACTGAGCTTCTCACCCTATCTCTAAGGGAGAGCCCAGACACACCACGGAGAAAACTCATTTCAGCCGCTTGTATCCGGGATGTCATTCTTTCGGTCATGACCCAAAGCTCATGACCATAGAAGAGGGTAGGAACATAGATCGATAGATAAATCGAGAGATTTGCTTTTTTGCTCAGCTCTCTCTTCACCACGACAGACCAGCACAGAGCCCGTTTCACAGCAGACACCGCACCAATCCACCTATCGAACTCCCGCTCCATCTTCCCCTCATTCTTGAACAAGACCCCAAGATACCTGAACTCCTCCAGTAGGGGCAGTACATCCTCCCCAACCCGGAGAAGGCACTCTACCCTTTTCCGGCTCAAGACCACGGTCTCGGATTTGGAGGCCTTGATCCTCATCCTGGCCTCTTCACACTCGGCTGCGAACCGCTCCAGTGAGAGCTGTAGATCACGCCCTGATGAAGCCAGCAGGACCACATCATCTGCAAATAACAGAGATGCAATCCTAAGGCCACCAAGACAGATATCCTCAACACCTTGGCTGCGCCTAGAAATTCTGTCCATAAAAGTTATGAACAGAATCGGTGACAAAGGGCAACCTTGGCGGAGTCCAAAATCTCACCAGAAACAAGTCTGACTTTCTGCTGGCAATGCGGACCAGGCTCTGACACCAGTCATACAGAGACCTAACAGCCCCTATTAAAGGGTCTTACTCCCGGAGTACCCCCCACAGGAACCCCCGAGGGACACGGTCGAATGCCTTCTCCAGATCTACAAAACACATACACTTTCCAGAATCCTGCTGAGGGTGTAGAGCTGATCCAGTGTTCCATGGCCAGGACCAAAAACAAACTGTTCCTCCTGAATCCGAGATTTAACTATTCGACGGACCCTCCTTTCCAGAACCCCGGAATAGACCTTACCAGGGAGGCTTAAGAGTGTGGTTCCTCTGTAGTTGGAACACACCCTCCGGTCCCCTTTTTTAAATACAGGGACCACCACCCTAGTCTGCCAGTCCAAGGGAACTGTCCCTGATGTCCATGCAATGTTGCAGAGCTGCGTCAACCAACACAGCCCCACAACATGCAGGGCCCTAAGGTACTCAGGGCGAATCTCATCCACCCCTGAAGCCTTGCTACCGAGGAGCTTTTTAACCACTTCAGTTACTTCAGCAACAGAGATGGGAGGACCCAAGCCGCAGCCCCCAGGCTCCGCTTCCTCAATTGAAGATGTGTTGGTGGGATTAAGGAGGTCTTCGAAATACTCTGCCCACCGACATACAATGTCCCGATTCGAGGTCAGCAGCACCCACCCCCACTATAAATAGTGTTGGTATTGCATTGCTTCCCCCTCCTGAGACGCCGGATAGTGGACCAGTTGTGGACCCAAGTTTTTGCCTCAGCGACCAGCTGAGCCACCTGCTGCTTTGACTGCCGTTACATATCAGCTGCTTCTGGAGTCCCACAGGTCAATAAAGCCCGATAGGACTCCTTCTTTAGCTTGACGGCTTCCCTCACTGCTGGTGTCCACCAGCGTGTTCAAGGGTTGTCGCCGCAACATGCAACGACAACCTTGCAGCCACAGCTCCGACTAGCCGCCTCAACAATAGAGGCATGAAACATGGCCCACCGAGACTCAATGTCCCCCACCTCCCTCGGAACATGTTCAAAGCTCTGCCGGAGATGGGAGTTAAAGCTCCTTCTCATGGGGGACCCTGCCAGATGTTCCCAGCTAAACCTCACAATAGGTGTGGGCCTACCAGGTCTAAACAGCATCCTCCCCCACTATCGGAGCCAACTCCCCACCTGGTAGTCGGTGGAGAGCTCCGCCCCTCTCTTCACCCGAGTGTCCAAGACATGTGGTGTTTGTTATGGACAATCCATGACGAGCACAGAAGTCCAACAACAGAACACCACTCGAGTTCAGGTCAGGAGGGCCATTACTTCCAACCACGCCTCACCAGGTCTCACTGTCATTGGTAACGTGAGTGTTGAAGTCCCCCAGAAGAACAAGGGAGTCCCCATGAGGAGCACTCTCCAGTACCCCCTTTAAAGACTCCAAAAAGGGTGGGTAATCTGAACTGCTGTTTGGCGCATAAGCACATACAACAGTCAGAATCCGTCCCCCCACATGTATGCAGAGGGAGGCAACCCTCTCGTTCACCGGGGTGAACCCCAACGTACAGGCACCAAGATGAGGGGCAACAAGAATGCCCACTCCTGCTCGGCGTCTCTCACCAGGGGCAACAACAGAGTGGAAGAATGTCCAGCCCCTCTCAAGGAGACTGGTTCCAGAGCAAGAGGCATGCGTCGAGGTAAGTCCAACTATCTCTAGTTGGAACTTTTCAACCTTGCGCACTAACTCAGGCTCCTTCCCCAACAGAGAGGTGACATCCATGTCCCAAGAGCCAGCTTCTTCAGCCGAGGGTCAGAACGCCAAGGTCCCCGCACTCGACTGCCACCCATCACACAATGCACCCGACCCCTTTGGCCCCTCCTACAGGTGGTGAGCCCATTGGAAGGGGGACCCATCTTTCCTGTTTGGGCTGTGCCCGGCCGGGCTCCATGGGTAACAGCCTGGCCACCAGGCGCTCGCCCTATCTCCAGGCCTGGCTCCAGAGTGGGGCCCCAGTGACCCGTGGTGACCCGTGGTGACCCGCGTCTGGGCGAGGGAACACTAGATCCATTTATTGTAATCATCATAGGGGGTCTTTTGGGCTGCTCTTTGTCTGACCCCTCACCTATGACCTGTCTGCCTTGGGTGACCCTACTAGGGGGCATAAAGCCCCCAGACAGCATAGCTCCTAAGATCATTGGGACACTCAAACCCCTCCACCACGATAAGGTTGGCAGCCCCAGGAGGGGTAGCAGCCCAGGGAGGGCTTTAAATTTTTTTATGAATAAATGCCCTACTTGATAAAAAAGTGTCTCACAAAAGCTGTGAAAATAGCAGATCTAGTTCAACACTTCATATAGGTTAATATAGCAGAAAGACAAGCTAACAAAATGTCCAATAAAGGAATGGTTTTAGACATCCAAAGATTCTGTAAAGTAAATGCTTCCTGATCTACTATGAATTATGCATTACACACAGATCAATAAAATCTACATTACTCCAAAAAAGCAAAGAACAAAAACATTCTTTCTACTTTGGTGATTTGGCTTTATTTCTGAGTTTCTAATTTCCCCCTCGGTTGCTGCTGCTCAGGGGTAAAAGTAGATTTAAATTCACAGGGGTGTGATATAAAAAAATACAGAGTACCTAAATAATTGCATTGTAATGCCATGGCAACCCAGACCTGAATTTTAAGAAGGTTGAAATAATCAATTAGATAGAAATGAGAACAATGAGAGAGAAATATTCAAAGGTCTATGTACCTTTACCTCTGGATCTTTATCCAAAAATAAACAGAAGGCAATGAAATATTTGCTTTGGATATAATTTAGGTATACCTTTTGGTTGAAATTAAAGAATGTTTAGCATCTCCTCTTGTGAGATGGAAGAAATAAAATCTTGATAGTTAGACAAAGGGATTTTTTATGCTTGGCAGAGGATGATGAGCCACATATAGTTTATTAAGTAGCGAGAGCAGGAACAGCCATACTGCTGAGAGCGAACCATCAGAGTGGAGCGTAAAGCGCAGACTCTGAGGTAATGCTAATGCAAGGACGCATTTCTGCAAAAGCAACGCTGGAAGGTCAGAGTTAGTCAGAATTCAGTGTGCAGTACCGGATCATTCTGGGTTATTTTCAGCCCACCGCTGCTGCCATGATCCATCTGTGGTCATGCAGAATGAGCAGCGCTCCACACCAAGTGGGCGGCGTGACCAAACAGGATGCAGAAGCACGGTTGATACTGTTTAGCAGATTACAGCACAATGATGCATTTTAAACGGCTGACAGACCACTCGCTAATTTTTATTTAGTTTCGTCAACAAACTCTTACACCCATGCAGAGGTGTCAGTTAACGAAGTATAAATACTTTGTTACTGTACTTAAGTACACTTTTTAGGTATCTATACTTTACTCCATTACTTATTTTTCCTCCTACTTCTGACTTCTACTGATTACATTTTCACACAAGTATCTGTACTTTCTATTCCTTACATTTTTAAAACAAACGCAACTCGTTACTCTTGGCTTCGGTTTTATGCAGAGGTCATGGATTAGCGGACCATGGTCCGCTGTTATGCCGAAAAGTGCATGTCTGCCGAGATATGCATCCCAAGTCGCGGGAGAACGCCTTGATCTGTACAACTGCATATCAGCGAGGAAAACGGATTAAAATATGACCAATGAAGCTACTTGTTGTTATATTAATGATATAAAAATATTTAAATATACCTCTCGTGGGGAAAAAAATTGTGGTTATTTGGTAGATTCATTCATTCATTTACAAAAGTATGGGTGTTATGAAAAACATTAAATCCAAAGATTTTGTCCGAGATACGGCTGATTTATTTGTTGTAGTCTCTTGTTATTTACACACAACAATAAACAGTGATGCCGACATGAGTTTTGAAATTACCAAGCTTTGTCTTAAGTGGAAAATCAAACGCTCATATACACAGCACAGCGTTCACAGTCTCGTGTGATGCATTCACGAGTGTCAGATAGCTATGGTGCATTCAGGAGCCTGAGACATTTCACACTTACAAGGAAAGAGACATAAATGGAACAGAACTTAACTCATACAATAATGGATTTATTCAGAAACAGTGTGGGCTTTCTTATAATACTGAATCCTCTATTTCTGTTATTTTTTGATTATGCACATCTGCTAGCTTTTTATTCTAAAAAATCTTTAATATTACAGCAGCAAATTATTAAAGTTTTTCAAAATCCTTTTTAAAAGCTCCAAATGAGGCTTCAGATCATACAGCAACAATTACTCTGTCAGTGTTTTACAGGCAGAATCAGCATTTGCTGACCCTTGTCCTTTAACTACTGATGGATATACAGGAATACAGTGTCAACTCCTCTGAGATAGCACGGGATGCAATTTTTGGCAATTTCTATCTATGAACATTTTTTTTTTCTTCAAAATTCCGTGTATAACATGAATGCATAAATACCTCATTTTATTTCAGTGTTAAATTCTGTTTAAAGTAACGGATCATTAAAAATGTCTCAGGACCTTTACTGGTTGATGATTTTCTTTATTCGGACCTAAATGATTTTTAATTGGTTACCCCTGGTTTTATGTTTATAAATATTTATTTCAGGTCATGTGTGCCATCCACTGCAGATCATTGGCTCCATCCACATCTAGTGAAAACTAGTGTCATTGGATGAGTCATATACTGTAACGCAAAAAGAAAAAGATGTTGAAATGTCTGAAAGGTCTGACACAGGCGAGAGTGTATCAGGAGATGGAGACCAACAAGACCTCCCTCATCGTTGGCCCTATCTTAAAGAATTTTTAGAAATACCCATAAAATTGAGCTATACAATTCATATAGTGGCATCTGACTGTTTTTTTAAAGGTGGCTTTATACTTTTAAACTTTAAGTTGTTTTTAGAGCACATACTTTTTCACTTTTACTTGAGTAAAGAGGTCAAGTTGATACTTCAACTTGACATCAAACTGTTTTCAAACTGCAGTATCTATACTTTTACTTAAGTGACAAATGTGTGTACTTTTGACACCGCTGCACCCATGACTCATCATGTTTTCATCATAAAAAAAAAGGGCCATCAAATAAATAATTTCGTCATTGTGACGAAAACAGCATTGGAGGTTTTTCCAATAAAATTAATGGACTAAATGCAGGAAGTTCTGCCAGAAAGAGCTCTGCTGAAATCCACAACAGCTCTGGGATCTCTGTTTGTATGTCCGCCTTATTTAGGCTGTGACGGAGCTTTACTGTCTAATCAGAGCTGTGCTTGGAAAAGCCTGAAAGCTCCCAGAGAAATCCTCTGCAGACTCTTCCAGGAAGGACCTTCATAAAATCACACTACGGCAAAAAGCTAGAGCACCCTGAAATCATAAACAGGATGTATCATTAAAGGATTGTTTTCACGGCTGACGTTATATAGTTACAGTTATCCTTTAAAAATAATCACTTCCTGGAAAGACAGAGTTTTCAGATTGGCTTCAAATATGCAAACTTTCCCAGAAACCTGGAGCTTCATTTCTAATCCTGCTTCATGGCAGATCCCAGGTTCCTGAGCCACTGACCTTCCGAGTATTCTCATCAGACCTTTAGCATGCACACGTCCCTTTTCCACAGATCGCACATGGTTTCAGATAGAAAATGTAAGAAATTTTAAGCTCTATGTAGTTCTATTCAAGGTAAAGTCTGCTTTACATTTAGCCTTTATAAGTCATATGATTTACCTCTGAGTGTGAAGCAAATAGTGAGGAACAGAGGAATCTTCAGGAACCAGGAGCAGAAGAACAGACTGAAAAGGAGGAACTAAAATCACTAACATCCCACCCAGATAAGGAAAATCTCTGCTTTATATTGATCAGCATGTTCTGATCTCCAGCTGCTACACAAGCGTGTAACTTAGTCATGAAAGTTGGTGGGTAAACTCTAAGGGTGGGGGCTGATAGACCTACAGCTACTCAGCCCGAACGCTTTCATTAGGTTTTTGTATTTTCCAAAGATGAGCTCAAACATCCATTTATTGAATGCTTTCCTATTGTTGAGAACCCCAAAGAATATCAATACACTGGTATTTATATTTATAGGTAGTTAGAGAGAACAAAAACATTAATGTATATAAAAAAAATAATGAAAAGCCGATTTTGATGCCAAAGTTGATACATCATGCATCGCTAGAAATTTTATTTCAATTCGATCCATCCAGAAAATATGGATATGCTGCATTTTAAATATAGCATATTTTTTCTTGTGAATTTTCTGGTAAACTTGGAGATATATTTTATTGTGTGTTGCATATCCCAGTAAATCTCTTTCACCTTTAAATCTGAAGCTCTCCCTACTTCTGTCTGTGCTGTTTAAAAAGATTTATGAACCTCTTCACTAAGTTTCAAGATATGTAGAAGCTCTGCAGTCTGATTCTATCTCCACAATAAGAAAACGTTAATTTTATCTTGTAACTGGGAGTCATGGTGCTCTGAGAAGCCTAACTTTTTTAACTAACAATCAAGAACAATCTATATTTTCTCAAGCTTCTTGCATTATAATACTAACTTTTATAAACTTACAATCTGTTGCCATTTTTAGCTGAAAAGGCTCCTGATGTCTTACAAACTGATTTTTCGGAGGCATCCAGTTATTTTAACTAATTATTTTAACCAAACCGTCTCCTAACTTACTTAAAGATCAAAGTAGCTGCTGGTTAATATTCACTGAGTGCTGCTGTGTGTCTCTCCTATAACCACGTAGCGACTCTCTACGCGGGGAAATGCGAACGCCAATCAGATGTCTCAAAGCAACAGATCCGATGATGTCACCCCGAGAGGCAAGACATGGAAGCAGCGTGAGAGAGGAAAGAAAAACACTGACTCAAAACGCTCTGAACACAAATAGCTGCATCCTGCGTCTGTTACCTTTTGGCTAAAGTTGATAAGCAGAAAGGGGGAAAAAGCAGTACTTGGTGGGGACATGTCAACACCAGTCCTTCAGAAAGTTACGCCTGTGCTGCCAGAAGGCCATTTGTTGAAGATGATGTCACCACAAATATATTCAGGGTAATAGCCGTAGAATGGATGAAAACTTTGACCTTTATCCTGTGATGAAATCAAATGTTTGTGCTTTAATCTAAGTGCGTGTAAATCTGCCATGTATGATGTCCTGAATGCAAATACCCAAGGCTAAAGCTAGCACATCTTAACCTTTCCTGTTTTCCTAGAAATTTGTTTTCTGTTCTTTTGAAGCACTACTGGAACCAAACATCCTTGGTGGGTGAGAGCCAGGAATCATTTTATTTTAAAAACAGTTGTAAAATCACGATGATGTTCTGTAACCTATGCAGAGGGAGCTTTGCAGAGATGAGTGTTACCTGTGTGCTCTGGATGCAGACCGGCACGCCCCTGTCAGGTCTCCTTTTGGGCAGAGTCTGGACGCTCGCATGGTGGTACTCCACCCCCGTCAAGCGGTGCCTGTAGCCCCCTAGGAAGGGCTTCTTCAGTTTGGAGCACTCGATCTCCACCATCACCTCCTTAAACATCCCTTCTTCTACGAGACAAACAGAAACACCTATTAGGAACTGAAGTTTAATGTTCAACACGTAGCAGCCTGTCTAACGTCAGGCTCAGACAGTTTTTAGCTGAATCAGTAGGAATGTTTTATGGAACTGATAAAGCTGTAAACATTCAGCCCTCTACATGGTAGGAAAGATGTCTGAATTAAGGAATATATAAAAGGAGATGTTAGCTGCCGTTCTTCTGGCCCTAGTCATGGATAGACCTGCACAGGTCATGGATAGACCAGCACAGGTCATGGATAGACCAGCACAGGTCATGGATAGACCAGCACAGGTCATGAATAGACCTGCACAGGTCATGGATAGACCAGCACAGGTCATGGATAGACCAGCACAGGTGATGGATAGACCTGTACAGGTCATGGATAGACCAGCACAGGTCATGGATAGACCAGCACAGGTCATGGATAGACCTGTACAGGTCATGGATAGACC